TAGTAAGTGTCTGAATGTGGACGTGTTTGTGGACAGGTGCGAAAAATTGTGATTGATCTACAGTAACTTTTTTGCACCTCCGCATGGAACACGTCCAGATTCAGACGCTTCTTCCAATCCTCTTTACTGGTGGCCCAGTGGGATATGGCCCTTTGTCTTTACCTTCAGGGTCCTGTAAGTAGAATAGAAGTTCGCAGTTGTCTTTCAAATTGTGACTCCGCTTGGAGCTGTTGTGGTATTGGGCCTCGCTACACTACTTTCCAAATGTGCGAAATGAGACTGAGTCCACTGCTATAACATGGAAAGATACATTCCCATGATGCCATCCTTTTTGTCTTTTGTGCTTGTGGAAAGTAGTGCAGCGAGGCCCATTGTCTCTTGATCCTTCAACAGTTTGGCGTTTCTTCCCTGACATACCACCCAGAGCAAGATGGACCTAGCAACGTGGGCTACATAGCCCCACCCACTCTTTGTATTGAAGTCTGTGGATAACAGTCTTGTGAGAATCCATTCCTCATTCCAATTGAAAGTATTGTTTGTCCATTTATGTCAGTGTTCCTTCCACCATTTCCACATCTACTGGGCCACCGGGCACTCCGCAAACAGGCGGCGTGGAGTTTCCACATGCAGTCTACATTGGGCACAAATTGTGCCTATCTCTGTGCCTCCTTCCCATAACCAATTGGTCGTAGGATCAATCCCCGGGGCACGCGAAAGCATCCACGTGAGGCCTGCATGCTTCCTGGAAAAAAGACATGATTGGAGTTGTTCCCACAGTTTATGTACCTGACTCCGTTCGGGACTTTGGGAGAGGCCCAAGGATAGTTTTAGTTTTTGCAAAAGCTATTCTTCTGATTCCAAGGGTCCCTTGAGGAGGGTTGAGCCAAGTTTTGGCGAGTAGAACTCTAGGGTGGTTACTTTGCACTGAGGTGAAGTGTCCCTCCAATATCGATTGTGTGGGACGATCTTCATAAGGTGGGCTGAAGCACCCCCACATAGTAGTTGGGCTATCATCCCCCCTTGCTGTCTCTGAGGAGGGACTACTCTGATTTGTGATAGCAGTCACAGTCCGTTTTTTTTGTAGTAATTTTTTTTTATAGAGGGCGGCAGTCTTGAGATATATCCACAGGTGATCGCCCCTGGGCAATTCGAGATTTTTATGGAAGTTATTATGGTAGATTATATGTTATGATCATGACTTATTGAGCTTCCTTATTGACCTAAGCCTTATGTTGTGGCAGGTATGTTGTTGTACCTGTGTATAAGATATGGTCCCCACTTCTCTGTCCTATTTCACCCATTCCTCCACGATTACCATGTTATTTTCATTTGAAATATCTTAGCAAACCTTTTTTTTTCCCCCTCGGAGCTTGAAGACCCCATCTAAGTACTTTGATACCAAATTAGATTCACTAGCCTATTGTGAATCAGCAGCTCCTTCCATACCAAATTAGATTCACTAGCCTATTGTGAAGCAGCAGCTCCTTCCATTCTTCAAGGATCGCTGACACTAGATCTTCCGCCCTCGATCGTACATAGTACCACAATCTGCCCAACTTTTCTCTCCGCTCCTTCTCCCCCAACCACCTTCCTTCTTCGTCCTCCCAAATATCTTTTATCCTTACTACTCCCGGTTCAACCCATTTTCTGCCAAAATAACCTTTTGCGGTGTTGGCATGGAAGGGTTCGCCTGTTCACTGTTTAGTCAACAACACGGGAATTGTCAAACAAGTTCCGTTTGAGAACCGAGCTTTTGGAGTCGACTACAATGCATCCCGGTCCGAGTTTCCTCCAGGCTTTCGGGATGTCAGATGTCACTTGAGAGGACGAGCCTCTACGCAGGAAAGAGTCTATATGGACACGAGTCCAAACGTCTTCCTCCCGTATTGACTTCGAGTCGTGCTTTAAGATGTATTTGGTAATTGCTACCCAAGTTCTCACATCCTTCAGGGTTAATACTCCAATCATCCATTTCCCCAAAAAGATTCAGATTGTGGTTCGCTTGGTCTATGATGCCTAGGCTACCCTGGGTGTATGGGGCTGTTACTTTCTTCGTACTTACCTTCCTTTCGGTCTGGATTCTACGAAATTATAGATACCTTGCAGGCCTGCATCCAATTCTAAGATTTTTTAGACGGTAGCTTTAGAGGAAAATAATCTGATGGCAAAGATAAACCAGAGGACAGAGAAGATAAAGGTGTTAAGCACCAGTGTTCGTCCAAACATCGAGAGACCAAAAGGAGGTATGGCAACATTCTAATCTCTACTGTACTTTCCCAAGCAATATGGCAACCTAGGTCCATTGATACTTTGAGAAGGAGACTTGGATTCCCAGGTATCAGTCTGCTATGTTCCCTTGCACCGTTTTCATTCCCCAATCTGTTTCGAGCTCTTGGGAGCTAGATGAAAAAAAATGATGGACTTATCCCAGTTAACTCCCACTTCTTAGAGCAGACAAAAATAAAAACATTCCCACAAGAAATGAGAGTTGAAAAAACATTACATTTTCAAAAAATCCTTCATATTGGCCGCGGGGGGGAGGTCGATGTTCCACTGCGCGCCGGATTTGGGGTCGAAGTTTCGATGCGGGCTGGCGGATGAAGGCGATCGACAGTGGGTGGGCGTGCAGAGTGGCGCGCGTACCGAATTGTTCACAACGCGCCACTAAACGAGAGAGCGCGCCCACGGGGCCGGGTACACGACGGGCGATGATGGAAGGGAATATCTCGAAGCGCCCGCCGTTGGATATCAAGAACGCGTCGTTTTGTGCCCCGCCCTTTTTTTTTTTTGCGAAAATTGTGTTTTCGACGGTTTTTTTTTTTTCCCCCCAATTTCTTTTTTTTCTTTG